TATTTTCTTCTAATTTTTCCAGTCCTTTGATTCTGTAGTAATATTTCTTGTCTCGTGAAGTCATTTATTTCTTTTTTAGTCTATTGTAATTTTCAGAAAGGTAAATCATATCTTTTCTAAGCTATTTATTCTCCTTGCAATTCTTTCCTTAACTTCATTTTTCATTCCTTTTTTTCTGGGTATTCATATAATCCTTAGGTAGATTAACTTTTTCTTTTGAGTCTCTGCTTTTGTAGTTTTTATAGAATTACTCTCTCCTTGGTTGAATTTTTGGATGTCTCTGGATCTATAAGAATTATGATCTCTAGTCATTTTCTTGTGTTTTATTCCTTTCCTGGCCCTGTTTCTAGCTCTAGGACTTCCAAACCATGCTGTCTCATCCTGGAACTTCCTTCAGTGTGTTGGGCCTACTCACCCTGGAATACCCAGACTCACCTTGCAACCTTTCCAATATGTACATTCTTTCTGTAAGGCCTGGCCCCTTTACCAGTTGTTGACTTCCTCCTAGAGTTTCCATTTTGTGGAGTGAACCCATTTGCCTCATGTCTACCTTCATCCTTCCTTTGTCTCTCCTCCATTTGACACGTAGAAGAACCTCCCCTCCCTTCTTTCTGTCTTTTCCTCTCTCTCTCTTCTTTTCCTCTCTTCCTCTCTGAATTGAGCTTTGTACTGGGACTAGGGTCCAGCTCCTGATATGCTTTTGGGTAGAGTAGTCAGCTCTGCTTGGTCCCATGCCTGTTAACCATGGTTCTCTTCTGAGATATGATGCTTGTCTTGCCACAGCTGCTTGCAGCCACACCCATTTTCTTTCAAGGCCTATTCTTGGGTTTTCAACCATGCTGGAACTTTCTTAGGGGAGCCTTTATGTTGCTGCCTCCGAATGGAACTTTGTAGACTATAGTTATCACTGCCCCTTTTCTAACATGCCTCCTTTCCTATTGCCTTTCCTGGGCAGAACTGACTTTCTATGTAGTTCTGGGGTGGATCAAACCACTTATCATAGTTTTTCAGTGGATTTCTTGATCATTATTTGGTCTTGTGTGCTATTTGTGTGCTATTTTTATTTTTATTTTTTTCTACAATAGGTATATGGGAGCTAGACTGCTTGCCTTCATTCAGGTGACCATCTTGTCTGGAAAACTCAAGGATAAACATTTTTAGAGACTATTCAATGCTGTGTAACTCTCTGACCTACATGGTTACTAGTAGTAATTAATAATAATCAAGCATTAAAAATTTCACCTCTGTGAGTTAATCTTAAAGGTTTTTAATTCATTTTATGGAACTTTTACTTTAATTTTTATTGGCTCTCAACTATGAATGAAAACTTTTAACCCAGTAACATAGGTTAAAATACATTTCTGGAATCTCAATTCAAATTACTTCCATATGTTCCAGGTTTATAGGTAACTTGGGAGGCAGAAAAATATTCTTGAATGGGATATCCCAGTGATCCCCTGCTATTTTGAATACTGAGCTATTGTTTAATTTTGTTATGTCCTATCCTTTTTTTCTGCCTGTGTTATATGCTATTTTTAAAATTTAAATGAAAAATTTTTAGACTTTCTTAATCCTATCACCTGTTTTCAGAGTTATCATAAATCTTCAGAAATTCCAATGTATTCAGAAAAACTGGCAAAAGATATAATAGAGAAAACAATAAAGAAAAAAAAAGAAAAATCTGAGGGCTTTTTAATGGTTATAAGTGAAGAAATAAAAGAGAAAATTTACTCATTGGAGCTATAGTGCTATTTTTAGTAGCTATTGCTCAGTTATCTTGTTTTTAAAAAATCTAAAATCTTCATGAAGTTCATTTCTGTAAAGGACATGCTGGTAAGTATTTACCAGCATGACACACTTATGAGTTTAACCTGCATTATTATCATTTTGTCCATCACTTCCTTAAGCTTAGACCGGGGCTTAGCAAACTATGTGCAGGAACTAAGAATGGCTTTTACTTTATAAAATAGTTACATTTTATAAAGTAAAAGCCATTCTTAGCTGTCGGGCCTTTACAAAAACAGGCCAACGGCAGGATTTGGCCTTTAGGTGTAGCTTGCTGATTCCTGGTTGTAGGCAATCAGCAAAACAATAAATGAAGTCCTGATTTGTAGGGTAATGGTTTCTGAGGTGAAATCCTGAATTTAACAGTTGTCATTTGTGGACTGGTATAGTAGGTACAACTAGGTGGTGCAGTGGATACAGCGTTGGGATTGGAATCAAAGAAGACTATGAGTTCAAATCCGGACTCAGACACTTAATAACTGTATCATCCTGGACAAGTCATTTAACCTTGTTTGCCTTAGTTTCCTTGTCTGTAAAATGAGCTGGAGTAGGAAATGGCAAATCACTGCAATATCTTTACCAAGAAAACCCCAAGTGGAGTCGTGAAGAGCCAGACACGACTGGAAAAACAACAACATTGTAGGTACAACTTGCTCTGGCACAACATTGCCTCCAGTAAATGTAGAAACTACTGATTAAGGAACATTCAACATGTCTTCCAAATCCAAAATCTTTCTTCATCCTAAGGTGCCTTAGTAAAAGGGTTTGGGTGGTGCCTTAGCAATTGATATGAAGGTAGAATTCTGAAACTGTTATTCACTGTGTACTCGCAGGAAGTCTTACCCAACCCTGCCTCCACCATGATAGTTTAGAGAGCACTGAAAAATCCTTTGCCTCACATAGCTTCTGGTTTGTGTTGGCTTCCTCTGTTGTGGTTTTTAGCATATTACCCCGTTCTACTTTCTTCACCTCATTGAAAAGGGTTGGCATTAGTGTTCTCATTCTCATCCTGTTACCTGCATAGAGGTAGGATTATTGGCTATCCATTAACAGCATAGAGCAAGAAGCATGGACTATTGAAAGGGGAGGGGAATTGGATCCACTGGGGAAGCTTCTATATCCTTATACACTAAAGGAATATGGGATTTGTTGCCGCTTGCTATGTCCTGTTGGAATATATTTTTTAATTAGAAAAATCCATAGAAGTAGAGGAAGACTCCATGACCAGAAAATAATGGTGACTTAGGTTTGGTTTTGGTTAGGGGTAAAGTAGTTATGTTGAAATAGGAATTCCTTCTTTGATAAAGGCCTTCCATGCCTTTGTCAAACTCTTCATAGCTTTTCAAGGTATGTGGTATGGTGAAGTAAGAAGGGAAGTATGAATATATAGTTATGTATATTATTCTGTGAGGATAGACACAGAGGAAGGAACAATAAAGAAAAAAAATGAATGAAACAAAACAAAAATTCTAGAGAATAAAGAAAACCAGAAATTAATAGAAACTTTTTGTCTAAATTTTTTGTTTTAGAGTTGCTGGTGAAGCCTTCGTGAATACTGTATGATACTCTATTAATAATAAATGCTGAAAGGAAGTGTGTGAGTGTGTGTGTATGTGTGTAAAACATGTATTCATCTTTCCTTTTTCCCCAAACTGAGAAGGGCCTGGGATTCCATGGGGAAATACTATAATTAACTAGAATGTAGAATGGACCATCCTAACTAGGGAGATTAAGCAACGCAGTAATAGGGAACTTGAAGTTTTTTATGCCCTTCCACAGCAACCATCAGATGTTGGGCCACTTGTAACTCTGTTTTTCCTTCTTTCTTTTTCCATATTCTTTTAAAAAAAATCTGCACTAAAGAAAAACCACCAGATAAGTCGAACATTTCCCCATAAATTGTAGAACAGAAGTGCAGAATTTGTATGTAAAATTGTGAAGCAATTATGTAGGGAAAAAAAATATATTTTTTTTCTTTTTGATGAGGCAATTGGGGTTAAGTGACTTGTCCCAGGGCCACACAGCTAGTAAGTGTCGTGTATCTGAGACTGGATTTGAGCTCCTGTCTTCCTGACTTCAAGGCCAGAGCTCTATCCACTGCACCATCTAGCTGCCCCTGTGAAGCAATTATGTAGAGTTTTATATTTTCAATATACAATCAGTCCAACATGTAACTTTCACAATTGTACCGTTTGTGATTTCTTGTGTCCTTCCTTCCTATTTTAGGAAGTCAAGGGGGCTGGGACTATATCTCTTCCTCATCCTCCTTCTTGACCTCTCCTCTCATACAAAAACCAACACAACCTTTGTAGTAAATATACATAGTAAAGCAAGGCAAAGTGGTGGTACTTATGAATTAGTATTTGTACCACTGAAATTTTCTTTACTGATTAAAAAAAATATATTGTTGCACTATTAGGTTAAAATAGTTTTTTTCAAACTTGATGCTGATAATCTTGTTTATAAATATATTTATCAGACTTAAAATTGGTGGTTTAAGAGCAATAAGTATTCTATGCATGATATATTTTTGTTTTTAAAACATTTACAGGTTTTCTATGATTTGTTGTTTTCATTGGTATTTAAGTTGGATTATTCTCCATATTTAATTACTACACCTATGATTTTCTGTAATTGCAAAGGGGAGTTGAAAATCAAATTGCTGGTTTTTTTAGATATCAGATACACATTAATACTTAATGTTACTGTAGTGGCATGCTTTGTAGGTAGTTTAAGGAATGAGAGAACATTATGATTTTATTTTGCACTTGAGTTTTCAGTGTATGACAACATAAAAACTGAAAAAAATTCACGATGTAAAATTTGAATGGGTAAGTTGAACATATGTCCCCATTTAAAAGTGCTTAGAAATTAATATTTTAAAATTTACTTATGCAGGAAATACTGCACAGTGTTGATAGTAGCTAGATAAAATTGTTATTTTGAATAGAATTTTATTTTGGACAGACTAAATGTAATTCTAATTAGTGAAAAGGTACACATTTAGGAATTTTTTTTTCCTGCTAGAGTTTTAATTTAAAACTATACATTTTTTAGGTGGAAATAATAACTCTTAGAAACTTTTCCAGATAGTCTCTAAGCAATGTATGGGAAATGTTTGTGACTTTGATCTTTTTCCTGGTCTAATATGTATTTGAATAAAGTTTTCCATTTTCACAAAAAGCCAAAGTTAACTTTATGAATGAAAAATGCAGGACTTAAGGAAAAATCTGCCTCAGCAAAGTCAATCTTACCTGGACAACCAGAGGACCACATACAACCAGAAGATCAGGCTACGAGAAAATCAGGTAAGATTGTCCTATAATAAGATCTCCCATTCCTAACCCTTACTGCATTTTGCAGTTAGGAAATTAAAGCCCAGAGGTGTGAAAATTTATTCAAGGTCACAGAGCTAGTAGAGGTAAAGTTGGGGCTGGAAGAATATCCTGATTCTTATCCCAATGGAAATTTCACTGTATTTTGCCACCATAAGTGCTTAAAATTCAAAGTGAGTTTCCTGCTTTAGTTTTGTTACCAAAATTATTTTTAATAGTATTTTATTTTTTTCCAATTACATGTAAAGATAATTTTCAAAATTATTTTGAATATACATAAATAATTTATATTTTTCTGAGAAAGCAAAATGATAAAAAGACGGAGAGTTCATCTGTGAGTGAGGAAGACCTAGTTTTGTGTCTTGCCTTTAACATAACTGACCATGTGACCCTTGGGCAAGCCTCTTAATCTTTCAGTATCCTAAAACTATAAATTGGATAACAGATGCTTATTTGCATTGGTATAGAACAGGGGTTCCTAGACCAGCATCTCTGAACTTGGGTTTTTTTTTTTAATTTTTTATTTTGTCTAGGCAGTGGGTTTAAGTGACTTGCCCAGGGTCACACAGCTAATAAGTGTCAAGTGTCTGAGGTCAGATTTGAACTCAGGTCCTCCTGACTCCAGGATGGGTACTCTATCCATTGTGCCACCTAGCTGCCCCTGAACTTTAAAAAAAAAATTTAAGTTTTAAAAGTTTTTAAGTTTCAAGTTTTTCAAGTTTTAAGTTTAAAAAATTTTAAAGTTTCTTAAAATTTTTTTTTGATAATCATTTTAATATGATTGTTTTTCTTAATAATGCTATGTATTTTATCCTTTGTGTTTAAGAACATTTTTCTTGGGTCAGCTAGGTGGTGCAGTGGATAGAGCAACGACTCTGAAGTCAGGAGGACCTGCGTTCAAATCTGGCCTCAGACCAAACACTTAACACTTACTAGCTGTGTGACCCTGGGCAAGTCACTTAACCCCAATTGCCTAAAAAAAAAAAATAAAAACATTTTTCTGAGAAAAGGTGCATAGACTTCAGTGCCTTTCCAAAGGGGTTTATGACACTACAATTAAAAGCCCCTATAAAGAGAATTTGCCAGTAGGGCACACAAATGCTCTTCCTCCTGCCTGTCCCTGCCATTTAGATTTTGTAAGATACCCAGAACCTTTATCAAAGACAGCTGCCAGTGGGCAGGGGTACTTGACTTCTTTCCTCACACTCCCCCCTGGCTCCCCATACCTCACTGGGAAATTGTCTCTCTCAACTTTACTGCCAATGCCTAATCCCTTCCTGCCCATTTATAAAATTTGTAATGTCAGTGCTTCACATGTAGGAGGCACTTAAACATGCTTTTTTTATTCGTTACTTACTGAGGTGAAATTGCAGGCCTGGACAAAAAGAAGCAAGTTATACTCTCATGGGCCTGCAGACTGAGAAGTGGCTAATATGTTTAAGAAGTGATTATTAAGAAATTTGGTTGTATCTCTCCCATTGGCAGTTTTACCACAGCACATTATTTACTGAGAGATTTAGGTTTGATGCCACAACAAATCTTCCAACGATTTGAGTGGTTAGAGTGGAAGGGGTTATTTCAGGATGTAGTAACTTTCTTTTAATAGAAGAGCATGTTGTAGAAGAGATTCTTATTCTTTTGATATTCTTTCCAACTCTGATATTTTTTGATCATGCTGTTTGGGGGGAAACTATTTCTAGCTTGGGATTAGAATGGGATTCAAGAAGAAGGTTCTAGATGAATTGGGCGTTAAAAGATAAGAATAATTTCCCTAGTTGGAGTTGTGGAGGGAGGTTTTCTAGATATAGAGAATGGTATAACAAATGAATCCCAGAATTCTGAGGTTTTAGTGAAAGAACCTGCTGAGGCAGACCTTTTGCTTTTGGATCACTAAATTTTCCATGCCTGATGCCTTAGTCTACCTTTCGGCCAAGCAGATTCCTTCTTCGAGTCAAGCAAATTCCATCTTCGAGCCAAGCAAAACAAATCGAACTCACCAGTCTGGAATTTGAGTCTGGTTACTTTAAACTCGTTGAGGCCAGCTAGCTAATCTCATTCCATAAGGAGATGAATAAATACTAGCTGTTCATCTGTCTAGTTCAGTATGTTAATGAGGCCTATTAATTTCACCTTTGTTAATGTCTTTTGCATATACCCCCTTCTCTTCTCTGACATTGCCACTACTTTGGTGCAAGCCCTGGTTGCCTCACACCTGCACTATTACAATAGCCTGCTGTTTGTTTTGCTTGCCACAAATCCCTCCCCGCTTGAGTCTACCCTCTACTCAGTTGTTAGTAATCTTCCTAAAGCATAGTACATTCCTCCCTAACCCCACCACCACTTCTCAGTAAAGTCCAGTGGTTCCCTGTCACCTCTAGGATCAAATATAAAATCCTCTGGCATTGAAACCCCTTTTCCTCAATCTGGTGATACTATTTGGAAAATAAGATTATCATTAAGACATTTTCAGAATTTATTGGCTGCTTTGCATTTAGAGACAGAGCTCCAACAGATGTTAAAAAGTTGGGAATGTATGCAACACTTCTAAGGCATAGCAAGTAATTTAGCTTGACCAGAGAATAAATTACCTGGAGTAGTGGGAGAAACTGAGAACAGTAGTAGATAGATAACGGTCGCAGATAGAAGGACATGAAAACTAGATCCGAGTTGGGAATTGATTCAGGAAGCAACGGTGTGCTCTGGATGTTACAACAGAGAGTAATGTGGTTAGATTTAATCTTAAGGATGGTGAATTCAGTAACATTGTGAATGGAAGAAATGACTAGAGGCTAGAAGATGAATTAGGCTATTCCTACAGTTTGAGTAGTAATGAGATTCCATTTCAAGTTAAGTGGCAGTGGGAAAACAGGATGTAGAAGATGGATATTATAAAAGATGTTAGAGATGTGGAATTGCCAAGACTAGTCTGCTTGATTAGGCAGCTAGATGGCTTGGTGTATGGAGTGCTAGGCTTGGAGTCAGTGACCTGAGTTCAAATCCTGTCTCAGATGCTTTAGACAAGTAACTTAACCTATCTGCCTCAGTTTCCTCATCTGTAAAATGGGGAAATAGCACCTACCTCCTATGGTCATTGTGAGGGTAAAATGAGATAATATTTGTTAAGTGCTTTGCAAACCTTTAGGCATTATATATTGATATTAATGCTGACATCATTAGTATATTGGCATTGCTGTAGAAGCAGATGGCAAATCAAGGCTTTTAACACAGGTTGCTAGGTAAATTATGGTACTTTTGGGAGAAATAAATATAAGATTATTAACCTTAGATAATCTTACATTGATAACCTCAGTAATTGATAATGATAGGGTGCTTGGGGTCCCAGCCCTAAGATATGTCTCTGGAAGCTTCCCAATTTCTCAGTAGGCCTCAGTCCTGTGAGAAAATTTTCTCTTGTTGCAGAACACATTCTCTTATCAGAATAGATATACAGGTGCATGGCCCAAGGATTTTTATCCCTGGCTGGCCCAAGGACTCTCCCTCATGCCAGATCCCCAAGGTCCATACCTCTGACACCTCCATCAGTGTCTGGTATCAACAAAGTTATCTCCACAGATCCCCTGCATTTTCTGGTCCATACATCATAGGTGCTTGCTCCCAAAAGACACTTGGACCCCTAGATTATCTAATTAGAATCCTTGGCATCCTTTCCTTTGTCCTTTTCCCATACAAGCCCCAGCACCATCCTCATCATCTTGGAGATTCTCTAAGGACTCTCACCCACTTTGGTTAAAGCATTACAATAAACTTTTTGCTACTTGACTAAGAGAAGGCTTGAGTGTGTGAATTCATTCTAGGCAACTCTGCCTTGGCATTCTTGGGGTCCCAGCATCCCCAGAGCTCTTCAATAAGGCAAACCTTTATTGCTTTTTTTTGGCTTCTTATTGGCCATTTATAGCTGTTCCACATACTTCAGAAAGAACCATTTGGAGAGCTTCCCCTCTGCTGTGGTTCCCAAGTGACTCTAGGGCCTAGTTAATTCTTCCTTCTAAAAGATAACCTTGTTTTGTATACGGCAGTTTGTATGTTATTACTTTCTTTTCATCTTTTTCCACTCCTCTCCTATTCCAAGGAGAACCTGGAATTTGTTCTTTTGCTAAATACTTATATCCTATAAGGTAGTTGCTCATCTTATTAATATTCTGTTGGAAATTAACTTTTTTAATAAGTAGATTATTTTTGTTATATTTGAAGTCTAATTCAAACATGCTAATATAAAATCTGATAATTGAGTACTCATTAACAGGAATTTGAAAAATATTTTGTTTAGACATTATGAATCTGTCTATAGTCTTTACTAGCTAATAAAATTACAGGGTAGAATTTTGGGTTATAATTAAATGTTAAATGTATTTCATTGAGTAAGACTGTGCCCCAAATTAAAAATGGAATAGGCAGGAATAAAGGAAGCTTTAATTCATTTTTAGAAGTCATATAGAAGTCTTGAAAATTTGTTTCTTCTGATAGCATTTTACCAGTTTCATGAAGTTAGCAGATCTGTTTCTCACTCTGAATATCTATTTTGTCTGTTTCTGCCTGCCTGCCAATTTGTCTGTCTGTCTGTCTACCTATTTTTGTCTAAATTTGTGACTTCACTGATACAAACAACTCCAGTGAGGAAACATTTTCTCTCAGTGTGGATGCTGTTCTGTAACTAGGACACTGAGAGGTTCAGTCACTTGCATAGACTCACATGTGTCAGAAGTGGGCCTTGAACACTAAGAACTTTTTTACTTTGAGGCTGGGTCTGTTATCTATCCCACAATGCCCCTCAGAGAAAAAAATACGCGCTAAACTAATAAGAACAAATTAATATTCTTCATTGCCTGAATATTTACAATTAAGTTTATATAAATTGACTTCATGATGAATGTGCAAAGGTTTGAGATATTTATATTTTTGTTCGTTGTTTTTTTTTACTTTTAAAAAAATAACTTTTAGAACACCAGAATGTTGAAAATGAAGTGGAAGAAGACATTCAGTTTGTCCTTAAAGAAGCGCTGCAGACACAACATGGTATGAATTAAAATTTATTGTTTTATGATTATCATATAAAGAGTATATTGAACCAAATCCCAGTTGGGACTCCTGAATTTGATCTTATTTTTTGTGATTATGTATTGTTAGGTGCAATATTTCTTAAACTAATTAGACAACCTGGAGATTGCAATGTTCTGTGAGAACCTTAGTCTGGAGATATGGAATACCTCATGATAAAAAGGGGTTGGAGACATAATGCATTTTTGCTTTACAGAATAACAGTATATAGAACTAACCACATGGACAGATTTACATTGACATCTTGGTTGTGAAACATAGAAAGCTGTTTGATTTCCTTGTTAGATGGATAAAAAACCAAGTGTTTTTCTAGTCTACACTAAAGTTGGTTCCTCAACTATCTACTAATACGTACAAACACACACATACACACACACACACACACACACACATATATATTATAAACTGTAATATTTATTTAGAGGTTAGACTTCTGGTAACCTCAACCATTTGGAACTGTTTTAAATCTTGAAGTGTTTAAAAAAAAGAAAGGGAGCCTCAGAGCAGTGACCATTTACAAAATGACTCAAGACTCAGATTGGTGTAGGGAAAAGACCACTGGTTTGGGATTAGTAGATCTCATTTCAGATCCTGGCCCTGTTAACTATCCATGAGACCATGAAAAATTCATTCAACACACTAGTTACTTAAACACCTGTGACTTCGGTATCCTCATCAATAAAATGAAAAGTTTGAACTAGATTACCTCTTCAAGCTCTAATTTTGTTATCCTGTGGCTCAAAAATTAGACAAGATAGAATGTAATTGGTGTGTTTGAAAAACTAAAGGAATGCATAGGTTCTAAAATCCTAGCCTTAGTGGTATGAAAGCCAAAGAAGCACAGGGTAAGCAACAGTGAAAGGGATGGAGAAACGAAATAAGAGAAATGAAAAAAAGTCATAGAAACTGTAATGAGGGTCAGTGATTAGTTCTGAGAGAGTCAAAAAGGGATAGGGTAAAAGAAAGATGGCTGCTCTCCACTTAGAAGGAAATGAACAAAGGTAAGAATAGCTTTTTAGTGTAAGAGACAAATAACCTTAAACTACTTAGGAGCCTTGGAGCAATTGCTGTCCTGTAACAAAGGCACCCCATCTATGCTTTGCCATTTGTGGGGGACTTTCCTTGAAAGGGCAAGTTATTGTAAGTCTTGCTCATTTCACTAGCCTTAGAGGGCATCCATGTAACAATGTAATGTCATGATGAAAATGCCCAACCATTATGAAATAGCATTGTATAGGCTTAAAATATAGTTGCAAGTTCAGCTGCAATAGATAGAGTGCCATAATCTATCATCCTTGAGCCTTAGTTTGCCATCTGTAAAATAGGGATGATGATGACCTCACAGAATTGTTAGGTTTAAATTGATTAGTGTCTATAGAGTGCTTTTCAAACTTTAATGGATTATGTAGCTATCAGCTATTCTTAGTATATTGTAGATACAAGTCAAAGACGGTGATAGATAAGCTTGCAAAGAGGTTTATGTAATCATGTCATTCTAAACGTAAACAACCACTCTCTGAGTGAAATACTATAGCTGTTAGAAGATGAGAACTGAGACCTGAGTGAGATTAAGTGGCTCCTGTTCCTAAAGCTAGGAAGGGTTACAGACAGAACTTGATTCCAGATCTCTCCTGATGTCAAGTCAAGCATTTTTATCATTACCCTGTGCTTTCTCTCAAGCATGAGAAAGTCATGTTAAGCTTAAAACCAAAGAAAGAGTTGTATATAACCTAATTAAATAGAGCAGATAAGGGACAATTTTCATCTTTTAGTATATTTGCTTCTGATATTTAATCACTCAAATACTTGAGAAGTAACCTTCATATATATATATATATACATATATATATATGTATATATATGTATATATATATGTATATATATGTATATATATATGTATATATATATATATATATGTATCTATCTATCTATCTATCTATCTATCTATCTATCTATCTATATATGTATATGTATATATATATGTATATACGAAATGTGTTGTGACACCAGAAAGCATAGCTGGGCAAATTCTTTGCAAATTCTAAAGGGAATCCCACTGGGTACCAGCATATCATGTATCTAGCTAAATTGAGATGACATGATCATGTTCTATGTGAGTGCCTCTTAGTGAAAAGTGGGAAGTGACCATTCCAATAGGAATTAATGATAATTTGATGGGGGTAAAATATTTTTTTGAGAAAATTCAGGGGATTGAGCTCTGCATTTTTAGTTTTGGTGGGTGGCTTTGGCATTTCAAAGGCAGCTGTGGTAGTAGAAGGCTCTCTCCACACAAATATATGTGTCTGTGTGTCTGTGTGTATGTATATATATATATATATATATATATATATATATATATATACATATATATATATATATATGTATATATACATATATATATGCACATATACATATACATATACATATATATGTATGTGTATATACATATATATATGTATATACATATATACACATATACGTGTAAGCCATAGATGAAGACTCACATGACCTGACGGAGGGGAGTTATTGGAATGAGGGCGCATTGGAATTCTGAGGATTTCAAGTGGCAGTATGGAATTGCAAACCTGGAATATTGGGGTGAGGACCAGGACATTTATGATATAGAAGAGACAGGTGCTGGCCTAATGAGAAGCCATTGTGGCACAGAGCTCCTCTTCCCATTTTCTCTTATTCAGATTGTTGCAAGAAAGGTTGAAGCAGAGAGCATTTGGGGAGTTGTGGTGATAATTATTGTAACAGGTTTCTCTGGGTAGCAAAACAGATTTTAATTTTTTCTTTCTCCTTGGTTCTTGTCCTTTTACTTACCTTTCCCTTTGCCTGTATCCTGTCATGCCACACTCTTATCTTTATTGGTTTTGTAGTAAATGGAGGAGGAGAGATTAGGGACAACTGTTTCCGTGTAGTAATGGGCTCTGAAACATTGGGGGATAGTGGGGAGAGAAAAGAAATGATGGGAAAAATGCCAGCAGAGGGGCAGCAGTAATTGAAGGGGAGTTCTTACGGCTGACTAATATAGGTTGATATACACAGTAAGTAGATACATGAGAGAATACCCATAGTGTCTGGTCATCAGTTTTAGACTGTCAACCTTTTACTTTATTTAAAATAGAAAATGACAAGGAAGAAGAGGCAGTTGAAGCAGTAGAAGAACAGCAAATAGAAAATGAAGAAGAAGATATTCCTATGAGAAATGAGTTAGAAGATAAACTTGAAGACTTGGTAACAGAAACACTTCATGAAGGTATAATAGTATTTCTGGTGCAGTCACTAAAATGCAGAATACAGTTTTAAAATATGATTGTATGATTTATTTTTAATCCAATTTGACATAAAAAGTACATTTTAACTGAAGATATCTTTACTTACCCCAGATTTTTGCAAATTTTGTGTTTTGCTTTGTGGAATTTCGATTTTGGTATCTTGCAATTCAGAGTCCTCATCTCTGAAAATACCACCTTCCTCTCTTATGTAATACAAAATTCCCATTTTAACCCTGCTATTCAGTCCTATAGCTATATAGTCCTTCTTATCTTTGTCTTTCCTTTCTATTATGCTCTCTGGAACCTTCCTCTTCTCCCCATCATTAAAAACCAAAACAAAGCAAAACAAACTCCCCATTATCCTAGCTTTTTTTCTTTTCATAGTCTATCTTCTCAGATTCATGGTGGGGAGGGGGGGAGAACCTTATTCTTTCATAAAGTCCCAGCATTTCTGGCTACTCCTTCTAGTGCTAGCTGCTCCTTCCATCATGTTCTTCCACATTGAGTCAGAGGAATTGTCACATCTTGTCACTTTCATATTTTACCAAACCAGAGACTTCATGTAGGAAGCCTTCAAATAAAAAAAAAACTTTAAAAAGCATATGTACCTAAGTACATATATGTATAATGCACATATATAATATATAATATGTATTATGTATATATGTTAATTATAGCCATCAATGGTCATGAAATCAGGGGCAGGAAATGTATGGCAGTGGCAAGCGCAGGTATATTTTCTATAAATTCTATTCAACTATTCAAGTGCTGAGTATAAGTTCATTATGGTGGATACTTCAGGGCCTATGACATCCTGGTTTGGCCACCAACTTAGGCTTTGATCATGTTCAAGGCATTGAACTTTGCTGCCCTTTGTTTTCCTCGTCAGTAAAGGAGGAGGGTGGGCTAGATAAAATATAAGACTCCTTTCAGGTATAAAAATTCCATTGTTCTTCTATTTCTGAGTTTATGTTTGATTCCTTAACTTACTAAGCTTATCTAGAAAGATGAGGTAGAACAAGCTCAATATTTATAATAGGGAGCAGAATTTTATGAGTGCCATCAGAAAAGTATGAACTGAGAAGTAAGGTATTTCAGAAGAAATACTCCTCAACCTCAGGCTCACAGCTTCAGCTGCATAGAGGAATCTCTACTTGGATGTCTCACTGGTGCCTCATTATATCATGCCCATAATAAACATACCCCTAAACGTTATCTTCTTCTGACATAATGATTTTTGTTAGCACCACTGTTCATCTTCCCTTGTCCTTACTTGCTGTATCTGAGTAGCTAAACAATGTTGATTCTGTTTCATTCATCTGCTTCTCTTTTTTTGTCGACCACCACTACCCCAGTATAAACAAGCGTTCCTTACATGCCTTCTAGATCATCTATGTGGATACATTTCAGTGGGGTCTGTGAGCTTAGATGGGGGGAAATTACATTTATTTTTACTTTATTTTTTATTGTAAATAAATATGTGTCCTTATTAATTAGATACTACATTTTTACTTTCACTAATCTAGGACCAAAATTTTACATTTCTTTCAATTCTGAATGTGGACAACAAACCACAGTGGTATTAAGCTCCAATAAACTGCCACAGGAGTCCATGATGCAATATAATAAGATCCTTTGTTCTAGACTATTATAGTCTTCTAATAAATCTTCCTATCTGCACCCTCCCTATTAAAACCCATCTGCTATACTGCTTTCCTTATGCATAGTCCTGGTCTTATCACTGCTCAGAAATTTTCAGTGGTTCCTTGCTGTTTATTAAGTAAAATTGAGATATTTACTTAATATTTGAGAACATCCACCAATTGGCACTGTGCTATCTTTCCAGCCTCAATCTCATTTTATGCAAAGGAGAGATCACATCTAGATGGGAAATCAGGAAAGGCTTATGAAGAAAGTCATATTTAAGCTGAGACTTGATATATTAGTAGGAACCACTAAGAAACTATAGGGTTGGATAGAATGCATGTGGAGCATTGTGAGATAATATTATAGAGTCCAAATAATAGGAAATACTACATTAGTTATTTGTCCATTTTTGCTTACTAATCATTCTTATTCCTCTTCTCGTGATTAAACATTTTTCAGTTTTTAACATTTGATCTGAGATTGGTACGGTGCAAGCAGGAGATGGTGTGGGATAGTAGAAAGGGAAAAGTAAAATAGGACTTTGAGGAGATTTATGTTCTGTTCTTGATTGTGTTATTAACCATATAATTTTCAAATTTTTTTTCTTATCACAAAAGGAAGGCAATAATTCCTGCATTACCTAGGTCATAGTATTATTAAGGAGAATCAACTGAGTATATTTTCAAATATAAAGAATAATAGAAATACAAAATTTTACCATTTGTTTTGTATTATTGTTTAACAGGCAAAGGTATTTAATATTAATATACTTTTGTAGATTTAGGTTCAAGTTACATAGCAGTTAATAAATTCATTAAAAAGCATACATCTTATTTTTCAGAAACTGAAGATAGATATTATCAGACAGAAGGTCCTGAGTCAGGTGAGATTTTATAAAGTACTTTTTTTCCCCCTGATTAATGCTAAGAAGAAAGTATTTTGCTATGAAAGTATTATGATATAAATGGAATCCATTTTTTTCGATGATTTTTTTCCTTTTAAAATTGTTAGACATTATCTATGGTCTTAGGTTAGCTTAGAGATTATGAATCACTTTTAATGATAATTTTTAAAATGTCATTTCTTAATTTTCAGATTCAAATGAATATAATAAAGATGTGGAAGAGATTGTATACAAACAGGAAAATCCAGGTTTGTGACCATCAGGTATATTAAATCATGAAAATGAACTTTCAGTATGTGCATACACATGCAGTTTAATTTTCATCCAGGCTCATGACTGAAAGATTGGGGAAGGACTCTTTTGGCCTTGAGTACTTGGGGAAGAATCTTCCACCATTACTGGTCAAGAGAATAGGTGATAGCAGGTTCTGCTCTTAGGGAACGTTTTTTTCAGTTGGAGAATTTATTGAGTTTTTCAGTGTAATGGAGACTTATTAGAATGGTTATTTGGAAAAGTACAACATATTTTAACTGTTCCTTTGGTTTGCCCTATAACATGTGAAATATATATATGTGTGTGTGTGTATGTGTGTGTGTGTGTATGCCACTGGATTAGATATGAATTGATCTTTTTAGTTTTATTGTTGAGACAACATATTCAGTCTGATTTATCTTAATTATTTCCTGTCTGTATGAAAACATTAACTTGCTATAATTCTATGATTTTGGTAGATTATTTATTATAAGACAATGGAATGATAGAGGTGAATGTTTTTCACATATTATTAGGTTCTTGACTTTATTCCAAACATTTTAAATATCAACACTAAATAATATATGCAACTTATCTTGAAGATTTTAAAAAGTTACATTTAATTTTCCTTTATAGATTACCAGGAGATTATAGAACCAGGAGTCAAAGATACGATACCGGAGTATGATACAGGTATGATAAACTACAGAATTTGTCTTGAAATTTTGAAAAGGAATCAAATTACAATTTTTAAATGATAATGTAGGGCTCTTGAAATATGCTGCTTATGTGATTTTTTTTTCAAAGCTTCTCTCAGAGTAGTTCTGGGGGTGCCTTCATTATGATGTTTTGGATTTCCAATAACATCAAAACTTCATGGTAGTTAATTTACAGTTTAACTCTAATTGAAGAAAAGGCACTTCATAACATCTCATTTCTACTTTGTATCATAAACAGCTTATTTGAGAGGTGTTGGTTATCATCTAGTTATACTAGAAATTCTTTAGCACTGCACCATATCTGTAGATTATAATGATTAAATGTATATAATTGTAAATGTGAGTTTTCTGTCTTAGTTGCTTTTAAATTACTTAATTTTCTAAATATTTATTTTAATTTTTTTTACAGAAGACACACCATACCAACACTATGATGAACAAGGTTTGAAAATTATTGTTTATATTTTACATAATAATCATGGGCTAAGATTTTTTTAAACCACTACCAGAAGCTATCAATGAAAAATGAGTGTTTCTCTGAAAAGTCATATTATTTCAACTTTTTTGTGTCCCAATACATTGTTTTGGAAATTTTGTTTGGGATTTCACTGAAGAGTCAATTTACTCCATAAGAAAAGTGATGGAACTTTAGAACTTGAAATAAGGGACCTTAAAGATTACATAGTCCAAATACTTCATTTTCATTATATTGAATTATTGATTTAAAAATTTAAAAATTGATATTTAAAAATACCAACTTTCTCACTTATTTACCAGACCTATGTATAACTTTTAGAACGTGAAAATACAGAAGATAAAAAGAAAGAACAAATAGGGACTCTGCCTGTGATTTTACTGATAATAATGAACATTCAGGTGAAGAAGATTAGTACTTTCTGCAGCTTTGAGTCAGCAAGTTGTCTAGGGCAAAGGTGTCAAACATGCAGCCCATAATATTCCCAATGTAGTCTGAACAAGATTAAAATGTAATTGTGGAATATTTAACAAAATAAACATAGGTAACATTACATTTTAAAACTAAATGCAGTTTACTGTTTAAATTTCAGTTTGATACCACTGGTCTACAGCACTGAGAGATTAAGTGATGTGACACAAACAGATTGTGAAGCCAGATCTTCCTGGCTTCGAGGATGACTTTTTATTTACTCTGCCATACTGCCTCTCAGTAGCCTAGTATACCTTCAGAATTTTTGTTACTTAATATTTAATGTTTAGAGGTGAAATATTTCTATCCCTCACACCTAGCACACTGCCTTCCCATAGTAGGTACTTAATAAATGCTTGTTGAAAGGAAATTGAATCTGCTTTTCTTTGTGGTCTTACTATTCATATTGAGCAGAGCATAATTTGGAAAACACTTATCTGTTTTGGGAATTGTTTTAACTTAATCTGTTACACAGTACTGACTAACACAGGAAGTTATATTAATGTCTCTTTGTTGTGATACAGAGAAATAGTGTGTGACTTAATTATTCATAGGTATATACTTTTTATTCTAAAATTGGTTTTGTAGTTATATATTACTTGAGCATTAGAATTCTGTCAACTTCAACTATCTGGAATTGGGAAAAACCCAGGCATATAAAAAGAAAAAGTGAAGCTCTGAGTAATGACCAATATCAAAAGGGCCAAAGATTTAGCTTAGTGTAATGGAAAGAGCAGATCTGGAGTCAAACCACATTTTCAGTCCTTTGTTACTAGTATCTGACCGTGAGTATAATTAATTTCAGCTGAACATGCCAGTCACTTAACCTCCCTGAACCTCAATTCTCTCATCAGTAAAATGAAGGAGTTGGGAAAAAAATATTTTTAAGGAGCCTTCCAGCTCCAAATCTCTGCTTTTAATTACTTAGCTATTTAGAAAATCAAAGCCACACTCAGAGGACAAAGACATACCACCATTGAGCATATTCAAAAGACTAGAACACAAACACTGAGAAAATTTTGAAAGAGGAGTCTAAAAATGTTTGGTAGTATAGTTGATGTAAGCATAGATTTTTAAGTTGACTAATTTGGGACATAGTAATGACTTATATTAATAAGTTTTGATATAAGTTTTAAATAATCAGTTAATTGCTTTATGATTATTATTCATGTAATTAAATTAATTCATGCCCTATTTTGAGATTTTATGTAAGAGTTATTCATCAGTGGTTTAGGAATTAACTCTGCTTCATGAGTTCCTGCTTGCTGAACCATGGAGGAAAACAGCTACATTTGATTAGGATTCATTGTTTGAAGATTATATGAATTATCTGGTACCATCTTGAATTTCTTTTCCCTTTCTGAAATTTTTTTCCTAACCTGGTTTGACTAGAGAATGAGTGATGGGCAGCTCCTCTCTTATTAAGTAATACTTTCATATTTTAAAGCTTTCTAGCATATATTATCTGTAAGATAATAGGATCATAGCATTTGGAACTAGAAGGGGCCTTAGAGATCATCTAGTTCTAATTTTTTTTTTCTTATAAGTGAGGAAACAGTCTTAGAGATTTGATATGACTTGCCCAGCATAGCAAAAAGCATTTGTGACATATTAATTTCTTAGGCATATTCTAGCTTGAGATAAATAAGCTTTTTCTTTTTTTTTTACATTTCTACTTTCATGGGATTCTTATTTTATTGATTCATGAAATTTTATGCATTAACATGAAAAAGATTGGAAACCATTGATATGCCTCAGCTTTTCAATAACTGTTATCCAAAAAAAAAGAAAATCTATTTACATTAAAGGACCATGAGAGATGATCATTAATAACCAAAAAAGTCTGTTATATATTGATTATATCTATGAATCAATAAAGGAGACTGAGAAGAAACAGTCACACGAGTAGAAAGATAATGCAATGTTAAAGCCAGGGAAGAAGAGACTGTCCAGAAAGGAGGGTCCAAAGTGTCTTAAGCTACAGAGAAGTCAAGAAAGATGAAGACTGAGAAGAAACCATCAAATTTAACAAGTGAAGATACTGATGGCACCTTGCAAGAGAAGAGTTTTAATTGATGGTCTCAGAAAACTCAGATTCTAAGAGACTGTCAAGTTGGAGGTGAGCCAGAGGCATTGAGTACAGACAGCTTTTTTTTTTTTTTAGAATTTTGGCTGTGAAAGAGAAGAGAGACAGAGGATAATATGTCGTAGATGTAGGGTAAAGTGAAGGTCTTTTAAGGATTGGAGTGACTTGGATATGCTTAGAGTTAGCTGGAGAAAGGGACCAGTGGGTAGAGATTAAAGAAGCATTATTGAAATGGCAAATAAGGTGAAGGGAGGAGGGTTGGGATCAAAGGATCTGGAAAAGACATTAGTCTTGTCCAGGAGTAGAGCTATTTGTCTAGAGGTTAGCATATTAGTGAGAAGAATAAAGGATGATGTAGAGAGGCTTTGGAAGTGAAGAATAGGGGAGAAGGAGGTAAAACACTATAGAATGCCTCTGTTTTATAGGTGATTTAAGAGACAAAGTCCTCTGCCAAGAGGGAGGTTGAAGATATTATTTAGAAGAGAAGGTTTGGTATAGCCTTTATGGGGCATGGGATAGAAAACCAAATATCTAAGAATAAAACCAAATTTGTAGGGATCCTACATGGTTTAGTGTCTTCTTCCTTTTGTAACTCATCCGTAGATGTGGAGGTTGTAGTTGTTTGCAAGTCACCTAGTTTTGATGTTTCATAAATGATCAGTGGCAATAGTACAAAAAAAGTGATACAAAGGTAAAGGATGGTATTGTTCAACTGCTAATTTTAGGGTAAAGTTTACAAAGGGGAGAAAGTAGGCCAGAGCAAATATGATGAACTGGAAAAGAAGGGAAGGATAAAATGACCAGAAGTAATGGTGAGAATGAAGTGACTAGGTGGCTGAGGGAAAGATGAAAAGATAAGATAATGTGATCTTAAAAAGAATTTCAAAGTTCTGGTTTGTGGAGGTGAAAGAGAGATCAGGGAAGGGCATTAACATTCTTATGTGAAGGTGAGGAGTGCACTGATAGTGTAAAGATTATCAGAGTTGTAGGAGGTAAAAGCACCTGAGAAGTCAGAATGTTTGAGGACCCATCAATATGTATAATGAGGTTTCCAAGGATAAGAGCAAGAGTTGGGGTGTAGAAAGAATGCCGTGAGATAGTTATTGAACTCCTCAAGAAAAGAAGCATAATGGCAGTGGCAGAGACTGTGACAAAAATTCTGAAGTGGTAATACAGATGGACTAAGTGAACCTCTTAAGAGAAGAAAGATTGCCTGGTAATAACCGCCAAACTAAAGTGAAGTTTGCCTACTTTGCTTCCTGGCCCAGTGGGTCTGCCTGAGAGGAGGCACACCCAGAATTAGAGAAGGTGACCTGACTACACTGCTTCCGAGGGGAACCAAGAGAGCTATGATGCATACAGAGGAGGCTTGTTAACCATGAAGTACAGTTTGCAGATAGCATAATGAAATGGGAGAGCAGCAGAGAAAATGGAATTTGAATATATAGGACTGAGAGCAAAGAGTATTAGGAGGGAGAAAGGATTTTTGCTTTTGCAGATAGCGACTAAACCAGGATAAAGATCGTGAGGAGGTCGAAGTTTTGCTTGCCACAGCATAGGGGAAGAATTAATTGATAGGAAACCCCAAATCTGAGATCCACTGATGAGTTAGCACAAAATCATTGCAGAGGCAAGACCATCAACTTTGTCACTCCACATACTAGGGAGCCAGGGTGATAGTTGCAAGGAGCAGAAGCTCTATCCAGGCATTTAGTTCAGTAAGTACTTGTTTGTCTCTTGGTATGGACTGAATTCACACCGCCCTGCTGTTCTATGCTAGGCCTGAGTCAGGCAAGTCCCCTGGTAGTTTGCATTTAACATTAGAATAAAATGAAGCACTGTAGTTAACAAAAAAAATATTTACCTAGCCTTAGTAAGAGAAGAGAATATCATGGGTCCCCAGAGGTGTTGAAATGATAATGCATTCTGATTAAAGAACCCATTTGAATTTTTTTTTCAAATTTTAGGTTTATCCATATAGCCTAGATAAACAGCCCACATCTTAGGTTAACAAATTTCTATTCCATCTTCAGTGTGATGATAGTAATAAAATTCCTCTGTACTTGGAAATGGTACCAGTTTACTTCTTTATCATCTATTTTTAAGCTAAAGAGACCTAATATCTTTAATCTGTCTTCTGTGTGATTATTTTATCATTAAATTAAGCATACTTTTGGTTTGAAAGTAACAAAATCATAGGAACATAGATTTAGATCTGGAAGAGGCTTAAGAGGTCAACAAGTATAACCCTCTTGTTTTATAGATTAAGAAACAGGCTTATCAAAAGTTAAATGCTTTACCAAAGTCACACAGCTAGTTTCAGAGGCTGGATTTCAACGTATATATTCCTGACTGTTTCTCTGATTTACCATCTACCTGTTGGCCTTATCATTCTCTAGAGTATGAACAGTAACTGTAGACAGTTGTTCATTAAGCTGAAATATGTACTCTGTGAAGTATCACATTATAGTTTACAGTTTTATAATGAAAACTGTAGGGATGATATGTGAATTTTTTTCTCCTTTTTTATAGTCTATGAGCCTCCAGAAAATGAGAGAACCGAAGCTGTTTCAGGTAAACTCTTTCTTACCCATAGTCAATGTATTGTTTGTAGTTAGTACAGTTTTGTCCAATAGTCCTTTATTAAGCACCATGTGCCAGGCACTATGCTAAGTGATAAGGATACAATTAATACAAGAAAGCTAGTCCCTGCCCTCAAGGAGTTTATAATCTAATGGGGGAGACACTGTATAAAAGCAGACAGGAACTGGGGGGAGGTTACAGGACACCATGGGCATCTTGTATCATGGAGTTAAAACCATGCAGAACAGCTGGTGCAAAGTGTAGTGAGCTGAGAGTCCAGTTTTTGCCCTTTACAGAGAAAGACTTTGGGAGAAGACCTCAGATGGCTGGGGAGAGGAGGCTGAGGGAGGTGGTATCAGTGAGGGTGTGATTTAGCAGCATGGTAATGATAATGCATTCTGATACAAGTGATGAACTTATCCTGGGAGGGGTATCTTGTATGGAGATGAAACCAGGCAGGGCAGCAATGTGTGGTCTGAAATAACTTTTTTAGAACTCGGTTCTAAGAATAGTTGGAGTGGGGAGTCAATTTTGAAACAAACAGTTCTTGGACTATTAATAAATTGTATATATGTTTCTGTCTGAATATTTATACTTAAACTTTTAAAAAAATATAGTCTTTGTGATCTTTTGCTTGTGTTCACTTAGGCTTATTCCCTCTGCCAAGTATGCTTTTCCTCCTTATCATCTGTCTAGGTCTATGTCTCATGTTATTTTCTCATTTCAGTTCAACTCAGAAAACATTTATTAAATTCCTACTATTTTAAGTCCTTATGCTCAGCACTGGAAATGCAAAGGAAACAGCTCCTTCTTTTAAGGAGCCGAGATTTTACTGGGTGGATGTGAGAGGTACATAGGTGAGTGTATAGGTTCATAGTGAAGATCATACTAATCTAGGAATATTTGAAGAGTAAGAGGACATTAATAGCTACAGGAATCAGAAAAGGCTTCAAATAGATGATACTAGAGTTCACTCTCGAAAGGTGAATGGAAAATGTAGAGAGCAAGAGCATACTGTCCCTTTCCTCCAACCTAAAAGTAACTTGTCAAAAAGATCTTGACAAGATAGATCATTGGGTCAAATCAAGGAAAACGGAAATCAGGGATAAATATAAAGTCTTATATTTGGATGTGTGACATCAGCTTCACAAGTATAAAATGAGGGAGGCATGGTTAGACAGCAGCAGTTCTGAAAAACTGAGAATTTTAGTGGACTGCAAGCTCAGTGTGAGTTAGCAGAGGGATGCAAACCCCCCCCAAAAAAAAAAATTCCAGTTCAATCTTTGGCTGCATTAAGAGAAGCAAAGCTTCCAGGAATAGGGAGGTGGTAGTATCCCATAATTGGCCCTTGCGAGGCGTCCTCTGGAATATTGGGCACCATGGTTTAAGAATATTAAGGGGTTAGCATACAGAGGAGGACAATGGGGGTGGTAAAGGGCCTTGAGTGCGTGCTGTATGAATGTTTGAAGAATCGGGCATGTGCAGTCTGGATATAATAGCTGCCTGCAAGCATTTGAAAGGTTGTATGGAGAAAGGATGAGGCTTGTTTTCTTTGGCCTCAAAGGACAGAACCCAGAGCAATGGTTAGACAAATGTAGGTTGGGTGGATGATGTAGTAACCACTAGAACTGTCCCAAAGTGGAGTGGCTTGCTTCAGGAGGTGGTAGGTTCCCTTTCATTAGAGGTCTTTAAATAGAGGTTTGTTGACCACTTGTTTGATATGTTATAGTGGGAACTTTGTTCATGTTTGGATTAGAGTAGATACTACTGAGGTCCCTTCCAACTCTCTAGTTCTGTGATTCAAAAGTAGTGCTTAGTCTGTGTGCTTCTTTCTTCACAAGAGTCCTGTGAGAGAGGTGTTATTATCTTTTTTTAAAATTAATTTATTTTGAATTATCAACAATCACTTCATAAGCTTTTGAGTTTTAAATTTTTCTTGTCCTCCCTCCCCATCTCCTTCCTCAAGACGACACGCAATCTGATATGGACTATACATATACATTCCTAGTAAACATATTTTCACATTAGTGATGTTGTAAGTAAGAATTAGAATATTATCTCTTTTTAATAGATGTAAGAAGTAGAGACTTGGAGCAGTTCAGTGACTGAGTTAATCACGTAGTATTAAGTCGTAAAGCCAGAATTCCAGTCCTGGTGTGCTGATACTAAGCTCTTTGCACCATACCATACATCTTTGCATCTCAAGAAAAGGGAAGTGGGAATAGGTGCTCACAGGCACCTCAGAGGATTAATTTCTACTGTTGGACACTAAATTTGACTCTAATTTTCATAACCTAAAACAAAATGGGAGACACATCCTACCACGTAGTTTTGCATAGCCGTCCCACTGATGGTCATTGCTTTGGTAGTCATAAGGCTCCTGTAGGCATAATAAAATGATGGCAATTTTTTTTTTGTTACTCTTGGTTATACTATATGTATGTGTGTATATATTTACACACAAACACACACACACACACACACACACTGTACTCTTGGGCTAAGAAGCAGGTTTTTGTCCTCTCTATAAACATTTATGCTTTTTTAAAGTAAAATGTTTAGAAGGGCAAAAGAAAGATGAATGAAAGTACTTACTAGGTTCCCTATTGGTATGTAGACTTTAAGGTAATGGATAGAAGAGAGCGTTTTTAGGAGGTTTCTCTAGCTCTTCAGGAGATCAGATGATAAATATATATGTATTTTTTATTTTTAGACATTGCTGTGGAAGATTTAAATGTGGGTGTAGAGGGTAAGTTAATATCCAGAGTTGTTTTTTCTTTCCATAATGAAAATCAAGTCCTTTATATTGATGATTCAGTTCTTACTGTGTTGAAAATATTTGAAAATTAAAGTAAATGCTATTAAAGCATTTTTATGAAGCGTAAAGCAAAAAAAAAGCTTTTAAAGAGAAACAGAACTACACACACACACACACACACACACACACACACACACACACAGCAGAAGAGAGAGACAGACACAGAGTAAGAATCAGAGAGACAGATGTGTAATAGATCTGACCAGTGAGTAGAATACCAATTATTAATATTTAGGTCAGATGTGATACCTATATTCAAAGAACACTATTAGAATAAACAGTTTGATTTTCATAGTAATTTGAAATAAGAATTCAGTTTAATATTTTGAGAAGTAATTTTATAAAGAAAATCATCAGATCAGTATTAAGCACTTGATTGATTTGTACCTAAATTCAGTTCTGAATTTCGAAGCAACCTCTGTAAAAATAGACTAAGTTATGGTCATATATGTTCTAGAAAATACTTTTGAGCATCATTTTTCAAAAGTAAAAATGTAAATAGTACATATGTTATTTTTCAGAATTGTATTTAAAGTTAACTGGACAGCTCTTTTGGTTGTGTTAATTACTATTTTAAAAATTATTTAAATTAATTAATATTAATAGTGACTACATAGCGCACTTGGCATGTTTCATTCATCCTAAATGTAATGCCACGAGATAGTTATTCTCACGTTACAAATGGGAAACAAGTTGATGAAACAAATAACCCTTCGACATATAATTAGTGAGAAATAGAATTTGGGTTAAATCAAAGATCTTCTGACTTGTGCCATTGTTTTTTTTTTCATTAGATGGAAGATTTGAAATTAGTGAAATAGTTAAAATTTACTACCTGCTTAATGCAGAGCATTATAACATTGAGAGATTAAAAATGTCTTAATATTTAATCAAGTCAGTGATTTATTTTCTGAAGACTACCGTAAAATATTTTCTGATAACTGTGGTTTAATTTTTTTTGAAGTCACTTTTATAATATGTGGTATTAAAAATCAAATTCATCATGTGTAAATTAAGCATTTGTAATTAATGGGGTTTTTTTTAATTTTAGAAGGAAATATATCCCCAGTAGAAGAACAGCATGAAATACCATCAGGTATGACATGTCATTATTATGTAGTTTATTTTCTTTCTGTTTATATTTTTTTAAAAAAGTCTCATTTAGAAATTTGTTTAGGAGAAGGAAAGCTAAATCATCCTTGTAAAGTAAATTGATGAAGAATAGCAATTCTTATGGTGCCCTAGCTTTGTTGGGTTTTTTGTTTGTTTGTTTGTTTTGGGAAGGCAATTGAAGTTGAGTGACTTGCCCAGAGTCACACAGCCAGTAAGTGCTGCACATCTACTTGCCCCAGTGCCCTAGCTTTAAAAAAAAAAAAAAGCAAAACACCTTTTTTTGTATTAACTAAGTGGAAGTAATATAAATCTCTGTCCGTAATTTACTACTTTAAATATATTCTATTAGTCTTTCTAAGTAAGAGCCATAGGATAATGCTCATGTACTTTAATTGTCAAAAAGTGTTGGAGTAGGATGTTATTCTTTGTGATCTCTCCAAATCCCAAAATATTTGATATTAAGTGATGTCAGAGCTGGCCCCATGCAAGGTGGATGAAGTGAAGTTTCTCCTAGGCTTGTTGGTTTTTAGTTTTGTGATTAAGTTTTTTTTGTGGAAACCTATATCATTTTCTTCCTTTTTCTCTTTCATCTTTTTTATTAAAATCATTATTTTATCTTTATTTCTCTGTGTACATTCTGTTTTTTTCTGTAAAAAGTAAGTTGATCTAGGAAAATGGCAGTATTTTTGCATTATGAAGGCAGAAAAGAAACCACATCTTTTACACACACACACACACACACACACACACACACACACACACACACACACACACGTACGTGTTCTGTGCAGACCCTGCATGGCCATTAATTGTTTGGATAAATGAAATAGTGCTTTAACTAAGTTTGTTTTCAAATGCATTCTTTTTTTTTTTCCTTTCCTTTCCTTTCCAAATTTTTTTTTTGAGATGATTTCTTCTATTACCTGCAAGTTGACATTGGAGTATGATGCTTTCTGTCCTTACCTAATGTTAGAAAAAGAATTTTTTTTTTGTTTAGTAATTGTCATTCACAGCCTTCTCTACATTTTTCTTGCTTTCTGTCATAAGATATGTTTTGGTTTCCTTTCATGTCACATGTTCAGCTTACTTTTCGGATGTTCTTTTCAGATAGTATAATTATTGGTTCAATGATTATTCCTTTCACTGGGCTCTGATATCATATTATCCTTTTTAAGAAAAAAAATCTGAATTTGGATAGAATTTTTATTTAATTCAACCTAGGAATCTTCAACAAAAAGTGACACTTCAAAAATTAATTGATAACTTTTTATATTATATTCATTTCCAAATATACCATTTTCAATTTAAAAAGAAAAAGGAAAACTAAAGTTCAGAGAATCAACTATATCTGATAGTTATATTATCATTTAGTGTGAATTTTAGAGAAGTAGTTTGTATAGTCCTTATCTATGCATTATTTTTGAAGTTCTGAAAATAAGATGTGCTTACCACAATCTACTATATGTGGACTTTTGAGGAAAAAAAGCAGACATATAACCTTCATTATCTATGAGATTATTTTTTATAATATATTACAACCGATGTTTCAAGCATTAACTTCATATAGAACATTAACTATGTTTGCCATATCTGGAAATTTAGCCAGACAGTAAAGTGAAGAACTAGTAGCTGAAGTAATCAAGAAGCATTTCATGCAGGGGATAGTGCCTGAACTGGGGTTTAAGGAAATTAGGGATTCCTAAAGATGGAGTTGAAGAGGCCTGGAGCCAAGAGGTGGAATGTCACGTGTGAGGAATAACTAGAACAATTGGTCTGGACCGTAGAGGATTGGAAGAGGAATGGGATATAAGGCTAGAAAGGTGGATCGGAGCCAGGTTGTGAAGGCCAAAAAGATGTTTGTTTTTCATTCTAGAAGCAGAAGGAGGCCAACTGGATCTTATTCATCAGGGAAGTGATGTGGTTAGACCTGTGTTTTAAGAGCATCACTTTGACATTTGCATAAGATGGTTTGGAGAAGGAAGAGAAATGAGGCAGGGAAGCTGATTTAGGCTATTTCAGGATTCTGGGGGGAGTGAGTGAGGGCCTGACGTAGGCTTTTAATCAGGTGAATGGGGAAAAGGAGACAGATGTGAGAGATGTTTCAGAGACTATCTAAGTTTTGTGCTTGGGCTGTCTTTTCTTCCCTGATATGGCTGCAAGTTTACCTCAGTCACTCATTTAATGAGCATTTGCTGCTAAAAAGCAGGAGAAAATGGGAAGGAGAGACTGTTAACTTTATGTTGTATATATTTTTATATGTAATGATTTTCATCTTTATGAGAAGGGATTATTTCATCCTTTGTACTTGTATCCCTAGTACCTAGCACAGTCCTGGCATGTAGTAGGAACTTAATAAATACTTGCTAATTGATTGGTTAATTAATTTATTAATTGATTTTCATTTGAAGAACAAACGTCATCTTCTGAACTCCTTTGATCTCTCTACCCCTTCTCAGTACATAACATCCTTTTCCTTCAGACCTCCATGATGCTTTCATGATTCTGTGATTTACTTTTTATGTGATACTATAATTAATAGTTTAAAGTATAGTTATACGTGTTTCTGTCTTTCCCTGCCACCCCTCTACCACCCCGCCCAAAACTAGTTACATGTATCGTCCTCAGTGCCTAGGACAAGGGTGGGGAACCTGCAGCCTTGAGGCCATGTGTGGCCTTCTAGGTCCTTCGGTGTAGCCTTTTTACTTTACAGAACAAATCTTTTTATTAAGAGGATTTGTTCTATGAAGTTTAGATTCTGTCAAAGGGCCACACTTGAGGACCTAGAGAAGAGGACCTTGAGGCTGCAGGTTCCCCACCCCTGGCCTAGGACAATATTCTGCAAATAAGAGGAACTATTTTTTTTATCGAAGCAATTAAATGAATCACATTTAAAATTCTACACTTTAAAAATTACTTCACCTATCTTGTTCAAAATAACTGAAAATAGGCTGTCCCAAATAAAATTCTGTTGCTTACCTGTTGAACAACTTTTGAACAAGGGCGGGAGAGGGGGAAGAAAAAAAAAACTAGTTTTGTCTCAACAGCTTGGTTCATGGCATCTTGGCCTGAGTCAAGATAATCTCACTCAAACACAAAGGAAAGCATTTATGTTTGTAATCATCATTACCTAAAGACTTTCCTTCACTTATTTCCCTTGGAGTCCCCAAGTGCCCTTCTTAGTTATCACTTTTTCTTTAATTTACAATAATATATGAAATATTCTTATGTGAAAAAGGAAGTTATCAGGGGGCTCATAAAGACTGAAGAATTCTTAATTTATAACATATGAGGTTCTTTCCAACAATCACTTTTGTTGTTGTAGTTCAGTTATTTCAGTAGTGTTTAACTCTTTGTGACCCCACTTGAGATTTTCTTGGCAAAGATACTGGAGTGATTTGCCATCTCCTTCTCCAACTCATTTTACAGAGGTGGAAACTGAGGCAAAAAAAAGGTAAGTGACTTGCCCAGGGTCACATAGCTAGTGAGTGTCAAAGGCCAAATTTGAAATCAGGAAGATGACTCTTCCTGACTCCAGGCCTGGCACTCTATCTACTTTGCCACCTAGCTGCCCTTATCATCTCTTTTACAGCTCTCTAAAATCTCACTTTGCAAAGGAGTTAGGCATGTGGAACTCTGAGCAGCTTTTGCCTACAACTAGCACTAATAATACCTTTATATGGTGTTTTAGGGTTTTTAAAGCTCTTTCCTCACTAAAGCATAGTGAGCTAGTTGGTTTTGGTAAATATCTTAGGGTGTATTTCATTTCTGAATTTTCCCTCATTCTTTTGAGTTGTATTGTTCTTATCCCTCAGTTAACACTGCCTCTTACATTATAGTTTATTATTACCCAGTAATTGCCTTTTGTGAATGGATACTAGTGTAACTGTATGTAGAGTTATAACTTTTCCATTGAAATATACTGGTTAATGCTATCATTGAAAACTTTGTTGTTCATTTTTAATTCAAAGCTGATTTTCTATCCCTTTTCTCTCTCTTTTTTTCTTGAGGCAATGGGGATAAGTGACTTGCCCAGGGTCACACAGCTAGTAAGTGTTATGTGTCTGAGGCCAGATTTGAACTCAGGTCTTCCTGAATCCAGGGCCGGTGCTCTATCCACTGTGCCACCTAGCTGCCCTCTATTCTATCCCTTTTCTCGAAAACATCTGTCTTTATTTTTTGGTGCAGGGAGCTCCAGCTGTATATCATACCTTCAGGTCAATAGCTAAATGGCCAGTTAAGGTTCCTTCAACATTGTTTTGTACCAATAACATCTTGTTAAATTCATTGTTATTATTCAATCTCGGGTAGAGTTTAAGAATTATCTAATAATAGGAATTATCATTTGGAATGACTTTTAGTGGTACTTAAAGTGATTATTCAGTCTTGCTAAGGGCCCTTGGCAAAGTAAAGTACATGAAGTATTTTTTTAGTGTTTGAGTACCCTTTTTATGCATTTTTTTTTGCTGTTCCCAGTCCACTTTGAGCCCTGACTACTTTTAACCCTTTTTGTGTAGTTTTACTATACCTATAGTTGATTACCCCTCAGTTTTTCCATCCCCAGATTATTATGTTATATCATTAGATTGTGAGCTCCTTGAGGACAAAAAACTGTCTTTTGCCTCAGTGTTTAGTGTCTTGTACACATTAGTGGCTTAATAAATGCTTATTGACTGACTGACCCTCCACGAAGTTCTACTGTGATGTCTCATTATTGCATGAACGTGGCCTTGGGAGCTAGAAGGCTTTGGACCCCAAGCTCTGATAGATTGTACCAAGCTTTGAGTATAGTCCTGGCCAGACTGTCTGGTCTCTTAGGACTGGACTAGCTAGGTAGGTGTACAGACTCATCATCGCTAGTGGTTCATTATTCAGCCATGCTAATCTGTGAGACTAAGCAAAATACGAAATAGCTCTCAGTCCTACACAGACCCCTTTTTCCTTTGGCTGTGTTGGTAACAGTGACAGAAGGTGGTAACGTAGTAT